TGCATTTTGCTTTCCGTTTTTATGTAATTGCTTTGTGTTTGGAAACATAAAAAAGTTCGACAAATGGAGGGACAAAACTAGTACAAAGAGCAGTTGCACGAATGAGTAGGCTGAAAAGCATAAAAAGCTTCTGTTTGAAAAGACCAAAGAAAAACTCCATTTTAACGGTAGCCGAACTTTGCTGTCGCCCCAGCATAAGCACGATGCTGCTGGCGTATGTATGTAGATGACATTGACGTCATTGCGCTTAAAGACTGAGTTATTCACACTCTGTAATGAGAGATTGTTATTGCAAGTTGTAACTTTATTCTCAATTGGAATGTTCCAATAAGAATTATATTGAATTCCACCGACGTTTAAAGCCACTCCACGATTCCCCCCAGAAGTTCAAGTTTTCAAAGCAGATTTAATTTTAATAAAACTACTCTGAAGATGAGTAATTTTTTTTATATCGACGAGTGGAATATAGAATAAAATTCCATAGTAATCTTCAACGCTCCCAGTATGGACGTTGCATTCATTATTTTAGCGTTTGTTGATACATACGCGGTTTCTTGATATCGATGTCATATTCTGTTAATACTGCGCTCAAATTTTCGAAAATTTCATGAAAAGACTTGCTGCATTTTTTCACATCTCTTGAGATTCCTGCATAGCATCTTCCACAAATTTAAGGGCCTCGGAAAATGTTTGTATTTCTGATCGCACTTGCTTGTTGACATTTAAGATTTAAAAGTAGAATTAGCAGCCGAGAACTGGAAAGTTTGTGTTGCTGATTTGTTGTTTTTCTACGCTGCTATCTCTTCAAGAGCTTCGAATATTTCTGGTTGAAATTCAATGTACGTTGATACCGCTTCGTGACATTGAGCCCATCTTGTTTAATTTTTATCATCGATTTACTTTAAAAAAAAAATCAATTATAACAACTCATTATCGATGCCAGTGAGGAGCACAGTGCACATAAATGGCAAGAGGAAAATCCGATAGCATGTCCGCTTAGGCTGCGTAGAATTTAGTACTAATCGCCATAAAGTTACGAATAATCTATACCTACTTCCGAAAGATCCTTCTTGATAGTTCGTGACAACTATCTTAAAATCAAATAGGTGATAAAAGTAGTCGTCCAAAACCCCCCTTAGTAAAATCCCAAATGAGTCACTGGTGTTATTGCGTTTAGCGGATTTGAGGTTTGCGCGCCAAGCGATGATGTATGTAAGTATGAGAAAGTGGGCTTTTTTTTATGCTAATATAAATTAAATTTACTTGCATTTAAGCTCGGAATGACCTACGCCCATTAATTAACATTTTTAGTGAATATTATATTGTACAATGTATGTATCGCAAGGCTAAAAAAGTTCTCACATTTTCCGCTACCTCACAGAGAAATGTCAATGATTAAAAGTTTTTACCTTCGTTAGCCCCTACTTGCCGTGTAGAAACTTTTAATAATGCAAAGTTATTTTTGCGATTCTTTTTTTCATACTTCAATATTTATAATTCCTTGGCATTTTTTACACAGTTCATTAAACGTAAAATACACACACACTTCTAGTTTTCTAAACGAAGCAGCATCAGATGGCTAGGAATGAGCGAAAGAGATAAGGTTGGTAAGTACATAAGTGGTTCCGACAAATAGTTGGAGTGTTGACTGAAGGGAAATTAAAAATCGCAAAAAGTACTTACTTGAGAGAGGGTAAACGTGGAATCGGCGGGGGAAACGTCTTTGGTAAAGGAGCAACTTTGCGCTGAGCGTTAACTATAAAAAAAAAAATACTTTTAGTATTTAGTTGGCAAAAGTAAGAGTGCAGGAGGTTGCGTATGCGTAGTGGTGGCTGAAGACACAGGCAAATTCGACTGCTGTCGTAGCGCAAAACTGCGAACTTATTTAGCAAAGCGGAGCAATTACATTCCTCGCAATCAGCGATTTTATTGCCAACTGTTTGAAAATTAGTACGTATTTTCCAGGTGAATGAACGTTGATTGGTGTGTGATAAATGAAGTTTTTGTTAAAAGCAAAGAAAATGAAAAAAATAAATAAAATTAAAATCTGAGTAAGTTTAGGTGATTTTAATTTTTTAAATGTTTTAGAATATTTCTTTTTTCTAGCTGCTTATGTATATACATATATGTATGTAAGTATATGAAGGAGCCAAAGCGTCTTTCCTGTTAAGAAGTGGTATAAAATGTTTTTAATTGGTACTTTTTAACGAGCTATTTAGTTTTTTTTTTAATTAACATGATTGTTATGATGGTATCGTCAAAAGCGAAATTTTTCTACCATACTCCGCCGAAACAATCTGAAATTTGATTAATGATATACTTTCATTTAAGAAAGGGAAATGCGAAATTTTGTAAATGTTGATCCATTGTCACACTTACTACACTTGTGAGCTGCAAAAATTAAGGTGACAAGATTTTAATAAAATTTTATTTATTTTTTTTTTACTCAAAAATCTGAAATTTTGAGCAGATAACGTGTGCAAGCGTTTAATTTTTTTTATATACTTACCTTATCTATTCAGTATTTGCATAGTAAAACCGTTCAAATTATTCGAAATTTTTCTAAGTATTTAATGTTCTGTCTGTGTATTGATTTTACTTCATAGTTTGTGTTATGGAGTAGAAATTTATCCCACAAAGTTGTCAATGTATACTGCTTTCAGAATCGGGGATTCCAAAATTTTAAGATAAGTAATGCATCAGAGTCGATTCTTAAATCAAAAATTTCAAAAACTAAGTTTTTTAATTCAATATTAATTAATTCACAAGAGAGGTGTGGAGAGACATCCTACCTGCATTACCTAATTTGCAGAACTGTTAAGAATATAGTACATACAATTTATTATCTTGACCATGTCTGAACGACGTCGAAAATTAGTGAAAATGAATTACTGATACGCTTGAAATTCAGTACGCTTAATTTCGTTCGATACTTGAGTGGTATTTCCGCATCTTTTTTTTTAATATCACGCGCATAAAAAATTTTGATTAAAAGCCAATAATTTTCCGCTAAAATGGATGATATGTAGATACAGGCCTAAGTTTAATCTTTGCACGCGTTTGCCACAAATGACGAGTCCTACGCAGCGGAACAGGACGAACACGTTGACTACCAAAGCAATGCGCAAAGCATTTTTCACCTTGTCAAGCGGATTGAAAATGTCTGCATTTCAGAGGAGACTTAAAAATAATAAAAAAAACAACAATAACAATCAAAGCTTGGCTATAAACCGACATTCAACGCAGCAACCACCACCAATTCCGACATCAATATTGACAACAACAAAAGCACCAACAACAATAACGACTGTGCAGCCTCAACTATTTTCCATCCACCAGTACTTCCGTTCGTGTGTTCAAAATCCAGCGACATGCAACGCCAAAATCAAAAACGAAATTTCGGCAGGATTTTCTTTCGAATACCGCATAGAACAGCACTCAGTGAATTGCTATGACTATGTGCAAGGGTCAACAAATTGCCTAAAGCGAAAGCAACCCTTAAAAGGCTGAACCCTGCAGTCAAATGCACTAGTACCGAACTAGCTTACTTCCAGTCACCAAAGTGTTTCTTCGTAGTAAGTTATACATATAAGCAGAAGCGCGTCTGCATTCCTCTCTATGAGGGTTACACTGGCACCAGTTATTTAACTACAATGCTCATTGTGTAGTTCACCTTTTGACTGCAAGGACACTGCTGACATGCACAGCGTATCAAAAAGAAGTCGGCAGGATAATGAGTAAATATACGCACGTAGCTTTTACACGCAAAGGGTACTGCTGTTGGCACGAGTCGTTCGAAAGGGCTGCATGTTTTGCCAAGCATAGAGGAAGGGCGGCGGAGGTTTCGAAAGGGATTTGTTGTCCATACTCGTACAGATATGTACATAAGTGTGCTTAGCACGAGCCACGAGAGTGCTGCATTTTATATTCGCATGTGTACCTTGATACTGTAAGTTGGGTGGTGTCGATTTTCGTGTCGCATTGCACTTTCAAAAGATGAACAAGAGACTGGTATCGGGGAAGCAAAATATATAGTGCGCATTTGGATTGAAACGCAACCGAAGTGCATCACACACGTCAGAACAGATTCAAAATTAAAATATACAGTGACTCAAACAAGGGCTCACGTGTTGATTTTTTTAAATATTCAAAATATTTTCAAGTTACCGTTTTTTTTCTATCAAAATATTATACAAGCCTTTGCCGAAATCAAAGTTTCAAACTTCATATAAAATTTAGGAAAACTCAACAAATTTTCAATAAAATTTCGAGCCTTTAAGAATTTTTAGAAAAATTTTGGATATGCAGTTTTATAGCGCATACAATTTTAGTTGAATGAAAAAATATTAAAATCATTGTAAAAATTGTATGCGCTATCAAACTGCATATCCAAAAATGCTCTAAAGATTCAGATTAAAAAGCTAGAAATTTTAATGAAAATTTATTGAACTTTTCTAAATTTTATATGAAGTTTGACTCTTTGATTTATATGGTTCTGGTTAAAGCTTGGACAGTATTTTTATAGAAAGACAACAAAAAAAAATAACTGGAAAACATTGTGAATTTAAAAAAAAAAATCAACACACACTTGTTTGAGTCACTGTATATATACATATATATATGTATGCATATACATTAAGGTGGTCTTTAAATGCAGGTAGCAAATTTTTACATCAGATTTCCCAAGCCTCAATCCCTGCATCGATGTTACTATAGTCGAAGATATAACATATAAATTTTGGTCGCCATTGAAGTCGGTTAAGACGTGTCGCACAAGGGTCAAAGTTCGGATTCCCTATGAAGGCGTCTTAATAGATTTCAATCGGGACAAAAATTTATATGTGATACCCTTGACTTCAGCAGTGTCGATTTTGGGTATTAAATGAAATTTCTTTTTTTAATTTTTTAAATTTATATGTGGTATCTGTGAACAAGGTACTTCCGATCGTTGATTTTTTAAAGACTACCCTAATATACATATATGAAATTTTCGCAAATGACAGGCGAACCGGCATATTGAACCAAACTTCTATATCCATATGTAAGTCGGCGCGCTGAATGCGAATCCGAAGTCTGTTAGCCTCCATCACGTCAGGTTCGAGGTCATTTGAAGGTGTAGTAGGGAAAAAATTAATAGGGATATAGAGGCTTTGTTCAATATGCAGAAACTTTTTTTTTGTAAATCTGTGCAATTGTTAAAATTTTAAAATCAATGCGTATCAAGAGTCTAGGAAAAATTATTTTCTACTTTTTAGTTCATTTGAGTTCATCATAGGGATATTTCAATATTCGGAGAAACTCTTTTCTATTATTTAAATTAAATTATTTCATTTAGTTTAATTTAGCATATTATCGAAAATATTTGAAATCAGGGAAAACACCCTTGCTTATCGTGGAAAGCTAAAAACCGATATTTAGTATGTCACCGGGTATATAAAGTTCGGTTTCTCCCAAAAATATTTATTTTGAAGCAAAAATTAATTGGATATCATTTTCCATACTTTTACGTATCCAGCAAATGCAGTACCAGCAAAACGTACATACGTGTATTGGATAGTTTGTTAGAGCGAATGGAAAATCAAGGAATTACTTATCTCGACATGTGTTTGTAAATCGATTGCCGCAGTTTGTACACATGTGTGTATTGATGCTGAAATAGGCAGTGAATGGCAGGCATTGTGTTGTAGCTTTCTACATGCCTTTATGTGTGGTATACATCTACTGTCATTGTCGAGGCTGTGGTGTGCTGTTGCATGTTGCTTTTCCAGCGTGTTCCATGTTTGTTCTGTTATTGTTCGTATTTGACGGCTTTTTCCTTTACCAATGTTGTTATTGTGATTCATTTGCTGTAGTTACAGTAAACTCATTTTCATTTTTGTAACATTAGATACCCTATTGTAGGCGGTGCTGCTGTTGCCAACGCTTAAACCTAATAGGTATTTGATATTTGCCTTTTTGTGTTGTTTTATGCGGTGATTTAAACGACCAGTGGTCGCATGCAACATTAGGAGCCGTTTTCACCATCTCTGGTTAACACTAATCCCCCGTTAAACATGTTTTATGCAGAGAATTAGTGATAACCAGACATGAAGAATTTCGCAGCTGTGGAAAATTTCCCAATGCATAGGATGCGTACTTCAATAACGATAAATAGGAAAAAGGGCCTGAAAAACATTCACCAGTTTTAATTTTTTCCATCATTTTACCAAAACACCAGGTATGTACACATAAACCTCTGCCTCCTTATTTATATTGTATTTCCACATCATTCATAAACGAAATTCGCCCAATTTGGAGGCTTTGCTTATTAAACATACTATGTTTTACATACATATTCAAGTGCGGCACGCTATCGTAGGCGAAGGTAACTAACTACTAATTGCATGTTGCAGTTGCGTGTTGTAAGTAATTATTTATTTCAACGCTTTATTGGGAGGGTCCCAGATTTCCGAATAGGTTTCAAGTAGGAAGCAATATTCAATAGGGATGGTTAGTGTGAGCAACTGACGCTCCCCCTACGACTGGTTCTGCGTTTTATTTCACTCACCAACGTTTTATTACAAATTCATTCATGAATTTGTCGTGCACCAACTTTCACCACCTCAATACGATGAAAATATTAATAAGTAAACACATGTGTGCATTAGGGCGATTCAAAAATGCATGTAAAAAAGTAAAGTGGGAATTTTTATGCTCTCACCCCCTAGGATTGTTCTATATCGAAAAAATTATACCAATAATAAAACCCAATTATTTTTTTAACAATTTTTTCTTAGTAACCATATTTTATAGGACCGCCAAAACCCCTAGAAAATGCCAGAAAATGCAATGGGGGATAAATAAAAAATCTTCATTATTAAAAAAATGATTAAATAAATAATTGGACATTGTTATCGGAAGTCTCTTGAAGAGAAGCAGAGTTTTCCGATCGAAAAATATTGATTTTTAAGAATTCCATACCATTTTCACGAAAAGTGGTTTTTTCCCTATACAAAATACATGGA